GGGCAGGACCCAGAGCTGGAGACCAAGTGAGGTGTCACCTCTTCAAAAGCTCGTCCGCCGCTGGAAATTCAAGGGAAACATAGGAGGGCGACAGGGTGGCCCCAGCACCGACAGTTCCGGGACTGGGCCCTGTGGGGGCGGTGCAGGAAAGGAAAACCCCCGCCCGGGGTCCTCTGTCCGAGCTCTGGGCCGCGGTAGCTTAGGGGCGGGGTGGGGCGTGAACGTTGCAGCCCCAGTCGCCCCACAAACCTTGACCATGAACTCGAACCCTCAGGCCGCCTTGGTTATGGTTTATAGAAGTTGTCATTCGTAACACCCTGTTCAAACTGCTACGGCTGCCTTTGTTCTCAGGCACCCTGCGGGGTGGGTCTGAGGGTTTATGACCGATCACCCAATCCAGTCTGGGAGGATCTAGATTCTTTCCTAAAATAAAAACCCAACAATAATGTGTTGGGGGATGGAGAGGGAATTTAGAGAGGAGGGTAACATTTCTCCAGGCCTTTTCTGAACTGCCAGTTAAAAATAGAAACTATTCATTGCGGTCTGCTGGGGGTAGCAGTGGGCGAGGAACTCCAAGTTTCTGTGGAACCAGAGCGATATTATCAGACTATAACCAGTCAATTCACCAGTATTTATTGAACGTCTACTTTGGATCCCGAGGGTTGCTTTCCAGGGAACGTGTCCATTTAAGTAAAAATGCATCCAAGGGTTCAACCAAGCCTTGGTGGGAGTTATTTTGAGACCTTTATTTCTTAGTTCTCGGACGCAGGCCTAGCGCCCTTTGCGTTTATTTCGATGGCGTGATGTGGGAGAGGGTAGGACTCAAGTCCTTAGTGAGTACTTGGTGAGTCCCCCCATGTTCCGGTATGCTACTGGTGTGCTCATCAGGGACCTACCCGAACGCATCTCCCCCAGTCCTGCAGACCTGGGCAGGCGACAGGTCTCCTGGAAAGCCCAAGCCTTCCTGGCCCTCCGCGCCCCGCCCCCGCACCCCTCCCCACTGCTCGGATGCGGTAGAACAAGGAGGAGGGTAGGGAGACCCGAACCTCCGGTCCAGCCTGTTATCTGCTCTTGATCTCCGAGTTTTGTGCGGAAAATACATCACTTGAGACTGAAAACATCCGTCTGAAAAAGAGACAAAGGGACCGGGGATAGGAGGGAGTAGAAAGAAGAGAGAAGGTGCCAGAAGAAAGGAAAGGGGCCGGGACAGCGGGCGACGAGGTGTGCTGGACCTGGGACCTGTTTCCTTTACTCGCGATCCGCGGGGCCTCGACCCCAGCAGCCTTCCCTACTTTGCCCCCGGAGCAGAACAGACCCGGCCTCTGCTCCAGGAGTAACCTCCTCCCCGCCCGGGACTTCAGGGTACATCAGTGAACCGGGAGGAGCTGATACCGATGCTAGTTATCATTGTAGTCATTAATAATGCAGTGAGGATTACGATAATTAATAATAATAATGATGGGCCTCCCGAGGGGGCTCCAGCTGCCTCCGGATAAAGCGATTCTCGCGTTGAGGGCAGTTTTTCGGTGGTAGATGGAACCGAGCACGAAGGAAGGGAGCGAGCTTGGGTACTCTGAAGTTCAAGTTGACGGCGGTGGCAAGGAGAGATGATCCTCAGGCCGGCAGCCGGGTCTCCCTGCGGGCTACGAACCACACCCCAGCTCTGGTTCCCTGAGGGAGGCGAAGACCGGCGTCAGTTTTGTGGTTCTGGAGTCAAGACAAGGGCAGGTTAGAATTCAGGTCCGTTTAGATGGGGAGATTAGGGTCGGGGGGTAAAGGAACTGCCTGCACTCCCAGGCCCAGGCCCAGGCGCCTCATTGCCGCTCAGGACCTTGGGCCGCCAGTCCCCGCTCTCTTTCTAAGTTGAGCAATTCTGACATCTTTGATACCACTTTTGCCATCTCCCCCTCCTCCCCACCATGTCTCCGGGGTTCTAAGGGCCGAAGAGAAAGGCGGAGATTGGGCATCGCTGTCGGGTCCGTAACTCGTTTGGACAAAGCGGTAAGACTCAGGGGCCCGGAGAACTGGGAGCCATTTTGCGAGAAAGCTGCTCTCATCCGCTCCTCACATCCTGGAGTGGACTAGGAGGCCGATCTCAGGCTGCGATCTTCCTCCTCACACCTTCCCCTTTCCCATTTTTATATCCTACTGATAACTAGGATAGCACCGGAGACCTAAGAGAGCCTCTGATAGCTGTCTTACATTCAGATCTGTCTGTAAAGCGATCTGGCCTAGGCTGTGAGCTCATTCCCTTCTTGTTATTTTTCTTCTTACCCCAAATGAGAAGAAAAGCCCTAAGGCTTTGAGCTTATATGATACCAAAACCTCCCCGCCCCCATTCCATCCTTCTTGGGTTTGAGCGGTGTCTCAAAGCCAGTCATTTATACAAATACACACAAAGTTTAAAACACATACCATCTCATTTCACGCAAGTTATGACAAATTTTTAGTCTGATTCCTTTGCCCCCTTCCCAAGGATGGGGGGGTGTTAGAAAACCCTAAAGGATTTTCCTCACAGCTTATAATGTGTTCAATGAAATCTCTCAAGGATCAGTAACATATGCCAATTATTTTAATAATTTTCCTTAATATTATTAGGGGTTATAAATTTGATTTTAATAGGAGGTTGATTGCTTCAGGAGTTGGCCTTGGGCAGTTCGCAGGGCCACTAGGGAGGGCTAGCCCAGTCTCTGTCAACCTCTAGGACACACACTCTCTCTCTCTCTCTCTCACACACACACACACACACACACACACACACACACAGCCCCCAGGGCTGAAGTCTTTCCCTCCCCACTGAATTAGTGTAGTGGCCTCTGAGAGGTCAGGGTTGCCTTTCTCTTACCAAACTGCCCTCTGGCCTGTCCCTGCGGATCAGTGGAGGACCAAAGAGAAGGAGAAGCAGTGATTTCCGTGGCAGCCACCCGTGCTCTCCATCTCCTCCCAGAGCCCTGCATGAGCTTAGCAATCTTATGGAGGTGTTGCTGAAGCCGCCTAAATCTTTTCACCACTGGGGCGGCCAGGGCCTCTGGAAGCTATAGGGATACTCAAGGAGATATCTCGATGGCTCAGGGACTTAAAAAAGAATTTTCCTCCTTTCTATACTTTGATTAAAATTATTTCTACCTTTTTCCTTGGAAAACCTTATTTGAAAATTCGATAAACTCTTGTGGGGGAGGGGAGTGAGGCTGCAAACCTTACAGAAAGCTGCTGGTTGGTTCTTTGCCTCACTTCCACCTTGCTATTTTAGTCTTTTTATTCTATCTCACTGAATTCTTGATGAGGTTCCCTTTCATTTGGGGGCAATGGTTTGCGGCTTTCCTAAATGAAAAGGTAGTCTATTTATCACCTTCTCGTGAACATTCTGCTTTTTGGTGTGCAGCAGCTTGCAGATAAGCAACATTTCTTGAGTAAGCTGTTAAAAAATTCAAGAAAAAAACTTTCGGTAGAAATAGTCCCTTAAACTTTAATCGTTGGGCCAAGTTCAAAAACAAAGCACTCAGCTCAGTTTTAAACATGCAATTAAAAATAACTGTACCTCAGCTTTTCAGAGGGAGGGAGAGGAAAGGGGGCAGGGATGAGGGAAAACAAAGAATAAGGAAATATTTAGTGCTCTTAAATCCAGTCCAAATAGCTGAAAGAATGGCATTCCCTCAGATAATGGAGCCATTAGAAACTCTGAACGTTCCTGCCGCCATTCCTCACAGGGGCTTTCCAAAAATTTAATTCACTCTCAGCGACAAAACAAAGGACAGCGAAAAGAATTTTGAGACTTTCTGCCAAAGGGGCAGTTTGGCCCCATTTCTTTGCATGCATGTACCTTCCTCCCCAGAATGAGGTGGTGCCTCACATTCATTCAAGAAGCTGAACTATATATATCCGTGTCGACCCTCAGCTGCCACCTTCCCATTTTACTTAATAACTTTGCTAGAAAAATTAGTATGTTCATGCAGTTTCAACACATTTTATTATATTTCTGTATGCATTACTTTCAAAACATATCACAAGAAATGATCAAACCACTTAAAACCTTCAAATAAAAAATCTGAAACAGTTTATGCCCACAATTGTACATATTTATAGTTAAGAAACATTCTTTATAAATATTGTTTCCTCTGTAGCAAGTTAATACCATAATTTAATTACAAATGGATAAATATGGTAACGGGTATTTACAGAAGGGTGTTATTACGGAAAAATCTAACGGCACAACGTTTATTCCCCTCCCCCCCAATCTTTCATACAGGAACTAACAAATTGAACTTGCAAAAGCACTAAAACATCACATGTAAACCCAGCTAACAGAAAAATACATTCACAAGCATTGGTGGTAGTGGTGTGTATGTGTGCTGTGGATCAGTGTGTTGAAGAAACAGAAGGGAGACTTTGGCACGGCTCGTTTTTTTCCAGTCTATAGTTGCATGAAGTTTACAATCAAGTTGCCTCATGGAAAGGAACACAATATTCAATACCACGATACAAAATAAACGATTTTCTTCCACATTAAAAAGAAACTGGGTAAACTAAAATGAAGGGGAAAAAAAGTTCATCACTTGAAAAAGGAAGGGAAGGCAGGGAGGAACGCAATCTGGAGTTAGAAATAGACAAACTTCTATACACCAAGAAGCCGTTAAAATCACCTCCGAGAAGGAAGAAGTCTGCTATGTACACAGTTAGACGACTGGGAATGGGGTGAAAAAGAAAGCGGGCATGGGGAAAGGCAATGGGGGTTTGGTTCAATATTTTTATGGTTATTTACTTATTTATTTATTTAATATTTTCAGCTTCAGAGACTCCGGAAGGGATATTTTTTCTTTTCATGCCTAGGCCATTAAAAAAAAAAAAAAAACACTTTAAAAAATCCTTCTGCTGGTAAAATCATTTTCATCATCATAAAAATCAGGTTCATAATTTTAATAACACAATCAAAGGGAATCAATGGCGCGGGAGGGCAGCTGCGCCAAGGTGGGGACTGGGAGAGGGAGAGAGGCCCAGGGCCCTCACACGTACCATTCATTGAAGTTGGAGGAGAGGCCGCTGTGGCCCCCAGCTGTCCCGCTGCCCCCGCCAGAGCTGCCGCCGCC